ACAATTCTCAGAATGATCTGCGGTGTTGAAATCGAGGCGAGGACGTCATCTGATGACAGGTAGATTAGACAAATGCACATCCAAACAGGGGATCCTACCGTGCTCCAGAAATGTCGTTAATATCCTGAGAGCATATTGCCCAACATCGTCCTTTGCCTCCGACAGGATGCTGATTATCCTCTGGAACGTCCTGGGATTTGAAATGGCTTTGCGGACGTCCTCTTTCGGTAAGTGAGAATATGAGCCATGAATATGGATACAAGCGCCTTACCATGACCTAGATACGTGTCCAATGTCTCCAAGGCAGAATGGCGCACGTCAGCGTCTGAATCAGCCAACATAGCGAGGGTTGTGTGGAACGTTTTTAGTTTTGGTACCGCTGCACGGACGTCGTCTGGTAGACAATCGGCGTAAACTGACTTACGTGCATTAAGGATGCCTACCATGTTCGAGACAAACGCCCAGCACCTCTAATGTAGATTGACGAACATCACTGCTCGAGCTTGCTAGCATTGCGACCATGTGATCGAATGCTTCCGGCTTTGAAACTGATTTGCGGACATCGACTAGACAAGTCAGTCGATGGAAGTCCGGAGAAACGTGCTCACAGACCATTCTCTGTTAAGGTTACCACACCTTTGACGGCGCTCCCCCCCATGTCATGGCTTAGGCTAGTAATCTCCACGAGAAACCTTAACATGTTTTGCGGCGTCACTGACGCACGGATCTCATCTAGGTTATTTAATCAAAGTTCGGACAATAAAAGAGCTGGAGTTGAACAGGACGCACCGTAGCTTGCTAATGTTAAAAGCACTTCCATCAATGCATCTCGATCCGTATCGTTTGCCCTCTTTATCGCAGCGATGAGTAACATAATCACCTCAGACGCAGCCATCATCTTCCGTATCTCATCTGTTTGACGATATGAGGGGACTGTAGTCTCAACTCGGAAACCTCACCATTGTGGGCTAAATCGAGCAACAATCGCGCAATGTCCCCATATATGCGAGAGTTTGTAAGGTGAAAGCTTTCAAGTATCGCAGGGAGGCCTGCCAGGAGTATCTTCCGAGAGTTATCTTCCGACTGCGTGAGCATGTTTCCAACGCTTTCGTCAACATTGAGCATTACCGTTTGCGTTCAGCCTCGTCAAAGCAGTAATGATGCTCTTCCGCGCTTGGTCGTCTTCTGATCGTATCAGTAAACAAACTTCCATTGCAGAGGCGTGAGTTGCGATCTGCGATCCGAATGCAGCTGATCACGAATCAAGAAACGTTCCTCCGAAATAAAAAGGATACATACGATCAGAGGCGACCTCAGCAAACAATTCTGCGTATCGTCTCCGGAGTTCAATAGAGCCGACGGTCAAGCCAGCCAACAACGGTGAAACGCCAAATTTTGCCATGGACCTTTGAATCGACTGTGCTAGATATATCGTCGATCATTCCATCCCCACCGAAGAGTAGCGCCCACCAACCTGAGATCACGTCCTTGGCCAATTCCGTGGGTACCACCTCTGGTTTTCCGATCTTCAGCCTAACATATCTGTAACTAGATAATAGTATAGGGCGGCTCACCAAGCACCAGCTCTTCGTCGCCCGCCTGCGTCCGCGTGCGGGGCCACAAATGTCCTCTCACCTTTGCCCACAGCCGCGGATGCATCCGTTTTTCGTTTCCCGCCAGTGTGCCCACCATGCCCGCGACGCAGACGATGAGCGGAATGGAGAATGCGCGCGGCTGGCTGACGACCACGCGGAGAAGCAGCGCGGCGAAAAAGCACTGCATCCCGAGCAGAACGAAGGAGATCGCGCCATTCCGACCGCCCGTGTGGTGCTGCATGAGATGCCTGTGTCGGTGTATGCGCTCTAATAAAAGTTCGGCTTCCAGGCAGCAAATGTCGAGTGCAGAGGCGAGAGCGGGGTTCTGGCCATCGGATGTGCTCGCGTGCTGGAGGATCGAGTCGCCCAGGGAGTCCTTTCTGTCCAACAGGTCTTGCGACTGGCTGTTAACGTCAAGCAGTGTGCGCGCCGTAAGGAGCGAGAAGATGGCGCCCAGAGAGTTGAAAGACAGTGCGATGTAACACATGAAAATTGTGACATTCCGAAGCAAACTGGAGTGAGAATCGCAGCCAGCAGGGGTCGGGGTGGCATCGCAGTCAGGGCTTCCGACGACGACAATAAACCCGATTTCTACCAAAGCGAGAAATGATCCCTTTCGAATCCAGGTGTGAGGAGCGCGGAACGGCGAAGTTTGAGCTCGCTACGCACGATTCCCGCCAAGGCAGTCAAGTACGCGGCTTCGACCCAAAATCTTTTGGAATATTCGTGGAAGCGCGCGTCGATGACGGCATCCACAATGTCGGCGTAGCCGTCGCCCAGGGATGTGTAAGCTGGATCTTCGCGGATACGTTCTTGAAGCAGATCAAGGATCTTGAGCTCTCCGTTGCTGTTGCGTTCGGTCATGGCGATGGAGTGAAGGACGGGCGCCAAGGCGGCTGACAGTTGACATAAGCGCTTGCGGCCTGCCGTAAGGCAAACCAAGCCTAAGAGATCGCAAGTGAGAGCTAAGATGCCAGTGGTACGTTCAGACACCAGACTGATAGCGAACTTGAAGTAGCTCCTCAAGCCGAGTTGTGACAGTAAAAGTGAGTTGAAGGGTGTGCACTGCCACTGCCGGCGTCTGCCGCATAACGATGAGAACATTATATCACGCCAGAGTCAAGAATTATATATCGCATCAGGTATACACGGCACGGTCCCGCTGAGGAACGCCGGGATTATCGAATGTCAACATACATGTTGCCCCTGAACTTCCCCGGGCTCATAGCACCAAGGACAACTATCAATCCCGCCACAGATTGATAACCTGGCCGCGGTAGATCCAGGGAAATATAAGAAAGCAAGAACGAGGTGGACAAGAAGAAGCGTGTGAGGACTGGATTCCTTGATGGTGCTTGAGTCATACTAGACGTGCTTTCATTTGACGTCTGTCGAGTCGGAGTCATGTTACCGTGAATATTAATGCTGTGCCAGTGGATGATGACTCGAGCGATCGGCTCCTGTCCTTAAGAACCTTGACGGTTCGTGGTGGATCTTGCTCTTAACCACATCCCACAATGCCCCGAACTTTGTCCGACGCAAAGGATTACACGTTTTTCTGGGGCACCGATTCCGCCAGGTTGGTTGTCAATGAACGGTTTGCCTTTACCATACACAGTCTGAGCATACTTTGCGTAGCGGGTGGGCATCTCAGTGGTACAAGGCGCCGTTCACCGCGACCGTAAGCGTGGACGGCGTAGACCAGGAAATCACATTTCCGTCGAATGAGCACTGGATGATGCTGGTCTGTATTCAACCATCTGCTTCTAGTTCATTCAACTGATTACGATTGCCAGCACAAGGCGCTATTATTCTCCGACTTTGACGTCGCGAAGAAGGTGCTCTCTATTGGCGGCACCTCCAAGCAGGACATGAAGTACGTGAAGGGGCTCGGCCGGCAGGTGAAGCAATTCAAGGAGGACGTGTGGGTGCAGCATCGAGAGCGGATCGTGACAGAGGGCACGATACACAAATTTCGCCAGAACGCGGACCTGAGGGAAAAGCTGTTTGCGACGGGGGAGACAATGCTCGTTGAGGCGAGCCCGTATGACAGGATCTGGGGGATCGGGTATAGGGAGGCGAACGCGCTTTCGGGGAGTGCCAAGTGGGGTTTGAATTTGCTTGGGAAGGCATTGGTGGAGGCTAGGCGGGTGTTGAGAGAGGAGGAGGAGGAAGAGGCAAGGAAGTCAAAGGCGGAGGTGAAGAGCGACTCGGACTGATTAATTTTATGGTGTATATTGAATTATACCAGACGTTGGTTTCCTTTGGTGCTCCAGTTAGATCAATTGTTGAGTCGGGCTGGAATCTGCGAACGCAATTGCAAAGACTCTCGAGGATTGGTCATTGAAGGCCGTGTTGTATCAGAAAACCCCCACCCAACGCGAATATATCGCAGAGACTCGGATAGAGTCCGAGTCAATGAATAGTGATAATCGCAAGTACTGCACGAGCTTAGGTTCGAATTCAATATCTGGATAGCAGGGATACGAATGATTGGAGACTTACCATACCTTGCAATATCTTGTTACCTTGCAAAGATATTCTTTCGGTTCTGGGCCGAAAGAACATCTTTTAGCTCGACCAAAAGCTCTTTCTGCTTCTCTTTTGAAATCAGCTTGAAGTAATTATTTTGGCAGATCCCAAAGGTATACCAAAAGGAGCTCTTTAGTTTCCTATTTTAGTCTGTGCTAAGTTAACTACATTTGGCCGAATTAAATCTCGCGCCGAAAGAACTACTTTAGAATCGCCCTTTATCTCATCCTATAAGTTTTTTTTTTGGTGTGTTGAACTCAGAACTGTGGCAAAACTGTCGCCTTGCAGTGAATAATACACGCGGAAGAAGTTGCATGGCCCGACGATATTCTTCTCGCATCATCAATCCAATGCCCTCAGTCTGGTTACTATGGATGAGGAAAAGCCTGTAATAATTATCGGGTCACGGCCGACAATATAATAATTGAAATTATTGAATATATTACAATCGCTGGTACAGGTGCAGCAGATAATACATGTGACCATCTCACCTGCCCTGCTTGAGGAGCTCGACCGAGCCCGTCCCAAGAAGCTTGATTCCCAGGCCGGTGTGAAGATACAAGAGTGAAGAATTGGTGAAGAATGGGTTGCATGCGCACAAATGTAATACTGTATACTTAGACATCGTGGCGATTTCGGGGCTCAGCGCGAGACAGGGCCAAGTCGATAACAAACGTGAAGCTGAGGATCAAGATGACAAGATCCCCAGCGCTGGGTAGTGGTGGACCCCTGGACTGGTATATACCATGGATCATATCTACGTGCCCGCGATATCTTGTCAGCACGTCGCTTGGAGTAAAGATCCGTTGGCAGAAGTGGGATAATGACAGCCTTAGCGCTATATACTTCCTCTTCGGACTTTCTTTTCTTGTCGGGCTAATGGTGTAGTTGGTTATCACGCTCGCTTAGCATAAAAGGGACTTGTTTGGAGTGCGAGAGGTGTCCGGTTCAATTCCGGATTAGTCCATTTTTCCCATTTTCTTTGGATGCGCGTCTTTGCTGGTCACTGGGGGGCAATTGCTTGCGTATATAACACCGGCACCGGCTCGATGGCCGTGCAACTCGCCGCGTGAGGGCCGTTGTGACGTCAAGGAGGCCGGTCACACCGCGCCACCCGTTCATCATTCCGCTCCGAATTAACTGTTTCGGAAACTACGGATCAAGGCGATTGCCGCATCTCCGCACCTGCAACTGATGGCCGCGGCGGCAGGGTTGAACTACGTTTGGACACTAACCACCATTGAAAAAACAGCCAGGCGATGATGAAGGGCTAAGTGGGAGTTGAGATATTGTTTATACAACTCTCTAGTATCAAGCATGACACATTTAATATGACGAAGTGTTGTTTGTATTGTAATAAAAATGATACGGTTATTTCTGAAAATGAAGAGACCCACTACACTATCGGTAGCGGGAATTCCTTTTCGCATCCTTTTCGTTCGTCGGCCATTTCTTCATGCTTCCTTTTAAAAATCTTTTCGCAATATAGTTTCTTGCTGCAGTTGATCTTTCTACTTATTATTCTCGCATCATCAAGCAATGTCCTCAATCTGGTTACTATGTGTGAAGAAAAGCATGTAATAATTCTCGGGTCGTAATAATTGTTTTCTCGCATCATCTATCCAACTCTCTCAATCTGGTTACTGCGTGGCACACTGGATGCCAGTGAAATAAAGCATACAATGATTCCGGGTCGACAATATGGCATACTATGTTACATGTACAATCGTGAATCGTTGGCGCAGATCACAAAGAGAGGCTGCGATACGCCACCCTGTGTCGCGTGTGCTGTATGTGCGCGTCCGCCGACTACCAGCGATAAAATATATATGCACGTCAGCTCGGCATGATTACAGCGTGAAGAGGGCGCATGGGGACAAACCTGATACTCGATGTGGATTTCGACGTCTTTGCCGGCGGTTATGCGATGGCTTGGGACTGCGGCCGGGTCAGAAACGGTTTGGCCGGGCCTCGCTGGCAATTGCAAGCCTACCTGGATTCCCGTCCGTCCGCCGGTACTTCTTGAACGAGACCCAGACTTTTTTCGCCAAGAACAGCAGTCCGCGCGGCGAGCCGATCTTGATCGTCAGCTCCACATGGTAGGTCTCGCGCACAGGGACGGGTTTGCTGCCCGCGCCAGCGTATCAAGAAATCAGCCGGCGCACCGATGGAACACGGGCACGCACTTGAACTGCACGCGGTACTCGAACCGCCGTTTCGCCGCGTCCGCGCCGGGACTCGGCGCCGGCGTCGGCGTCGGGCGCACCTCGAGCTCGCCCCTGCACTCGTGCAGCGTGCCGCTCGTCTCGGTGGAGCACTTGAGCGTGTAGAAGACCTTGTTGTTCGGGATCTGGAGCGCCTCGCGCTGCGAGTTGATGCCTGCGCAGATGCAGATGATGCTCAGTTGGCTGCGCGCTTTGACGGGTACGCACAGGCCTGGATTGAGGGCATCCGTCGGCGGGCGGGGGGTGCGAAAGGGATCAGCGTGGACGGTGAGCGGCGATAAGGTCGGCGCTTAACGGCAGGTGTCACCTTCCGGACTTGGCGCGCTTCTTTGGGATGGACATCAGCCTCGAGGCGCCGGCTGGCAGGAACCGTCACATGACCCCCGGTACCGGACAAAACTTTGGCATTTTGGGTCGCAAACCGGACAAAAATCACTAGGTCCCTGTCCGGACAAAAATGTTGGGACTTGGTTTAAATTTGGGCAGCGTTTGGGTCGATTTTGGAAGGAAAACTGGCTCATGGTTTATGTCTGTTGTCAGGGAGAATTAAACCAAGTTTATCAAGAGGAGGAAAGAGAGAAAAGGGAGGAAAGAGAGAGAGATTGTAGCATACATTCTTTACCCTGTCAGCCCTTGTTCCTAGCTCAAATTTGCACTGAGGAGGCACCAAAAGCTCAAAAGTTCCAGAGAATCAAGTGGCAGTTTGGCGGGTTGATGCGGGAAATCAAGACCATGTCTAATGGGGACGACTGCCGAAAAGAGTTAAGCCCCAGCGAATGAAAATCAAGATAAAAATAGCACACCTCGGATCTGCTCCATCCGACTCGGTCCGACAACATTCTGACTAAGTATCGCCGTCTGCCACGTGACTCGTGCCCTCGCCGTCGCGCTCAAAGGCACTAACCGGGGCCTACTGTACTATTACGACCGGAAGTTCAGTCACAGGTCACAGGTCCCGCTGAACTGAACTTATTATATTTTGGTCACAGGTCACCGGTAGGTTTGAACACTTGACCATTTTATATTCATATAGGGCTAAAAAATCGATTTTCGCCTCGCTACTGGGTGCTGGGGCTTTCTGGCACCCCTAGTTGAGCGGTGTATCGCTTTCAGCTCTGAATTCAAGCCCAAACTGGCTACACAATATATTTAAACTTGAGAGCGTGGATCTAATGTTCTTCCCACATCCCCTCACCCCCGTCGTGCCCCGGCTTCTTCGTCTCGCGCTTGGTACGCCGCAACGCCAGTGGAAGATCCCCCACGACGACATCCAGCTCTACATCCTCTGCAGTACCATTCCTTCCCAGATCCCCGTGAATATTGAGCACCGCAAAGCCTTAGGAGTGAACCGAACTCAGGACCATCAGAAACCACGCTTAAACAAAAAGCACAGCCTACCAGTTGAGCCACAGGGGCTATGAGATATGGCTGAGCCAATCTCCGTACCCTGAGAGCAGCCGCCAAAATGAACTGAACACTTACAAAATGAACACTAAAAATTGCGGTCACAGGTCCCAGCCGCTGCTGAACACTTCAAATCCGAACACTGGTGGTCACAGGTCACAGTGGCTGAACACTTGGTCGTAATAGTACAGTATTTTCCTAGAATCCGGCCTGCGGCGCGAGTGGTCCCCCCCCAGAGGACAAAGCATTGCAAGCCCCTGAGTAGCCCTGTCCCTTCATACCATTATTTTTGGCTGTCACAGTCCCGCGCGACGGGATGATGTCTTAATTGTCTTCCTGTAGAGAAATTCATTAGTTCTGGAGGCAAAGTTTTGTCTCTGGCATGTCGGGTGAAACCCCAGGTCAATTCTAGACCTTCCCGCAAGTACTTAGAACTTAGCGCTTCAAGTTGGATCATCCACGCCTGTTTCCGCGGTTGCAAAATGGAAAATCTCCATCTGCATGCTCATACCACGTCGATTCAAGTAGCCTCTCCCTTCAAAAGAAATCTACAGGTGATTACAGCCCTTTTGGCCTCCAAAAAATCAAAGAGTTATGTGTCTGCATGCGGCGCAGCACAAATTTCACTCTCCGAGCCTGTTGACACGTCCAAATCGCACTCAGATCATTAGTACTGCTAGGATATACTTAATGTGAAAACTTTGAATGGCCCCGCGAAGTCCCCGCGAGCGTCGCGAAGGCTTAAAACGGCACGTCACAATCACGTGCAAAGTCACATCAATCTGGCTTATGCCGAATCGGGCATAAGCCAGCAACAGCCTTGGCTAATGAGCCGGAAAAAACTGACGGAAAGAGCCTTTTCAATGCAATATATGGGCTGAACATCGACAACAGAGCCATAAAGGGAGCGGGAGGAAAGATTTCGCATTTTTTGGCATGTGGGAACCGGAAATTACCCGATCGGCCAAGGAGTCCCGCGTTGGCATCGCTGACGCACGTGACCGCGCTGGGCGACGACTTATATTCACATTGGCATTTATACATCTACAGGTCGATCTCGGCGAGGACCTCGTCCGCGCGACCGTGGATCTCGGCGAGGCTGGTGTACCCGGCGAGCGCCATGCTGGTGTCGAGGTCCGCGAGCGTGTGGCGCAGGACCTGCTCGATGCCGGCCTGGCCGGCGACGATGCCGCCGTACAGCCACGGGCGGCCGACTGTGCGCGCGTTAGCGGGGCGCGAAGGGAGGGGGGGAGAGAGAGGGGGGAAAGAGGGGAAGAGGGAGGGGGGAAGGAGGGGGGAAGCGGGACGCACGGATGACGGCCTGCGCGCCGAGCGCGATGGCCTTGAGGATGTCGGGGCCCGTGCGGATGCCCGAGTCGAAGAGGACGGTGAGGCGCCCGGCGGCCTGCGCGGCGCGGATCGCGGGCGAGCGCATGATCGCCGCGAGGGCGTACAGCGACGGGAGCGCGCCGTCGAGCTGGCGGCCGCCTGTGTGTGCGCGTGTCAGCCAGCGCCTGCGGGCAGAGAAGGAAGGGAAGGGGCGGGGCACACCGTGGTTCGAGACGACGATCCCGTCGACGCCGTGCGCGAGCGCGGCCTCGGCGTCCTGCACGCGCTGGATGCCCTTGAGCACGAGCGGGCCGACCCAGTTTTCGCGCAGGAAGCGCAGGTCCTCCCAGCTGCGGAACAGCCCCGAGTTGCACTCCTCGAGCCACTGCGCGCCGAGGTAGACGCCGTCGCGGACGGCCGCGTCGCCCGCGCGGAAGCGCGCGTCCACGTCCGCGGCGACGTACGGCCACGCGGGCATCGCGTCCGCGGCGACGATGGGCGCGCGGCCGAGGCGGCCCATGAACACGGGGTCGGACGTGCCGACCTGGACGCCGACGCCGTGCGCGAAGGGGATGTACGCGGCGGCGAGGTCGTGCGGGCGCCACCCGATGAGCATCGTGTCGAGCGTGACGACGAGCGCGGCGAAGCCGGCCGCCTTGGCGCGCGCGAGGAGCGAGAGCGTGACCTCGTCCGTCTTGGGCCAGTAGAGCTGGAACCAGCGGTGGCCGTCGCCGTTCGCGGCGGCGACGGCCTCGATCGGGCGCGAGGACGCGGTGCTCATGATGAACGGGATGCGCAGCTTCTGGCCCGCGCGCGCGGGGGCGAGCTCGGCGTCCTCAGTGAAGATGCCCTGCACGCCGATGGGGGCGATGAGGATCGGCGAGGGGTGCGTCACGCCGAAGATGGTCGTCTGCGGGGGTCGTCAGTGCGCGCGCGCGGCCGGCGGAGGAGCGCGCGACGCACTTCGATGCTGCGCGTGCTCGCGTCGACCAGCATGCGCGGGACGAGC